AACCTCATAGACTGAACAACGGATCCCTTTTTATATATGCTAGGAAAATGGTGGTTCATTGTTAAAACTAGAATTGGAATAGTCAACCAGAAGTGAACCTCTAATTGTTTCCAAATGCTTACTTTTTGGTTTGGATGCGGCTCTAAGTCTTAGCTCAGTCAGGAATTTGCTAAGCTTTCCTTTTTTTACACATCCTTTCATTATGGCTAGATAAATCCATGCTAAAATCAGTTTTATGATTCCCCATTACGATAGTTAATCAGAAAAATATGACCACATACTCCTGGGTTAAACACAGCTTTAAATGACAAAAACTAGCATTTCTACAGGTTTCTTTTATATCTTTAGGACCTTTGAAATTTTTGAAGATTGACCTTGGTTTGAAATTGCATGTCACCCTGACAGCACCCGTCCCCCACCTGCCCACAGACCACTTTCATGACCTAATTTAATGAACCTACTGGAATTCTTATATTTTATAGGATATTATTCTTATATTTTATCTTTAAATACTGGAATTTTGATATTGCTATTGGAGAAAATTAATGTGATACATCAATGTGCTTTAGTGCAATGCTTGCTACTGATAAATGTTAGTGTTCTATTACAATTCTAAACAACCAAGTTCTGATAGCTCAATGTTCTGTCAACAAAAAATTTGCTAAACCAAAATATTCTAAAAACAATAAATAGTTTACCCTGAGATACTTTTTTTTTTTTTTTAAGCAATAAAGGTTTTTTGCCCAAAATATGTGTTAGAGTTACTGCTTAAAAAGAAAGCCAATTACTGCCAGTTGATCCTGGCTCACGGAGGATTTGTGTGTGTCACAGTAGAACCTGCCCTGTGTAGGGTTTTTAATGGCTGGTTTTTTGGAAAGAAATCACCAGGCCCTTCAGTGCCTGTCTTTTGAGTTCCTCTGAGTGGACTAGACCCTCTACCTTTCAGCTGCAGTTGGTAGCTGCTAAATAGTCCACAGGAACTTCTACCCCGACCTACCTATGTGCCTTTTGTTGACATTGAGTCCATGTCCCGTGTATTCATGTTTTTTTTTCCTTTTCTCTGCTTTCCTTTATATTTAAAAGTATGTTGAAACAGCAAATCTTTACCTACCACTAAAATTGGCCATCAAAAGTTCCCAGCAAATGAAATGCTCACAAGCATAATTAGTGTTGTCAGCTCTGACTCACGGTGACCCCCGTGTACAACAAAACAAACTACTTCCCAGTCTCGTACCGTCTTCACCATCACTGGTAACCTCAAACCCACTGCTGTAGCCCCTGTGTTGTGAGGGCCTTCCTATCTAGGGGATTCATTGCCCAGCACCAGGGAGAACAATGTTCTGCCATCCATGGAGTCTTCATGGGCATTCCTAGTCTGGAAGATCTGCCGAAACTTCCCACCGACCCAACTGATGTTTGTAATTCTGGGGACCTAGCGCCAGCAGCATATACAATGTGAGCCGCCACACCATTGTGAACTGAGAGCTAGTAGTGAAGCGTGATGTATGGCGCTTTTAAACTCCCATGTGCTTTCTTCTAGTGGACAGCCCTAAATGAGATCTTTCTTCCTGATTTTCATGGCCTCTTCATAGACTTTTAAAATAATTACTCATTTTTCTTTCAAGTTGGGTGTGTACATCTTTTGTTTTATTTCCAGTGCCTGCCACAGGCAGACATACAATAAGCATATTATAAATGCTTACAGAACTAGATTTTCCAAAATTGAATTTGAACTTTAAAAACTTGATCTTTCATTCTTTCTGCTTATAGCTATCTTTTTAGGCAAGTGATTTTGATGGCTTAAGCCTCTGTTTCTACCACTGTAGAGTAGAGTAAGATACTTTCTGGTTATAGAAAATCTGATGCAAAACAATATTAGGTGCATAATAATTTTTACTTTGTACTGATTTTTTTTTAACATTTTATTAGGGGCTCATACAACTGTTAT